TCAAGGATAGGAGAAAAACTGGGTAAGTGGTGTACTAGCAAAGGTCAAAGGAGTACAGCGGTCAGGATAAACATTAAACAAGCCATGAATTGGACACCAGAATCAGAATACACAAGAACATGTTATATGGCTAACTAGAACCACAACAGTGCAACAAGGAATGGGCGAGACGAGTATAAATAGGTAGGGCTTGTTTCCTATTGGCCCATATAATCTTAGAGTTCCAAAACCATATGAGGATGATTTAGGACTTCATCGAATAGTGCCGAATTCAGATCAGCAAATTTGGGCGCTCATAAAAGCCCTCAGTGCAAAAGCGTACAACTTCTGGGAGGACGCGGAAGGACCCAGGTAAGACACGAAAAACCTTGACAGTATCAAAATGGTCACAATTTCTGTAAAAAGCTTGTGAGCACCAAAAAAAACAAACTCAATACTGCACGATTCATACTTTTCACAACTTGAGCATTCAGATGAAGAGATAAATCTCCATTTGGACTAATTTGTAACCTTGGGGGCTCGTGTGTGAAAACATGTCTATGAATGACATTAAGATGATGTATATATATAAAAAATCAACCCATTCTCAGCTTGTAGTTGTGAGAATGCAGATTCTAGGACTCCTCACAGTGTTTGTTTTGTACTCAGTGCATTTATTTCTCTATTCTATTTCTTAAAAATGTGTCCAGCAGCAGTAAACCTTGGCCGGTTCAGGTTGAGTGCGACAGCACATATTTTAAAGTGGAAACATCACATCTCTGGAAATACACCGCTGAATAAAGCTTCACTATCACCTATAACCTTTCTTTCCATGTCAACCTTCATTTTCTTTAATCCTTTAAGGACCAAGGGAGATATGACGCATTTGTAACCAAGGCCTTTTTGGCACTTTTATCATGCGTTCATTCTGCCACAAATTCCCCCTTCCTCTTTAAAGGACCACTATAGTGCCAGGAAAACATACTTGTTTTCCTGGCACTATAGTGCCCTGAGGGTGCCCCCACCCTCAGGTTCCCCCTCCCGTCGGGCTGGATGGCGAGGAAAGAGGTTAAACTTACCTTTATTCCAGCGCCGGGCGGGGAGCTCTCCTCCTCCTCTCCGCCTCCGATCCTCCTCTTCAGCTGAATGTGCATGCACGGCAGGAGCTGCGCTCATTCAGCCGGTCTCATAGGAAAGCACTTACAATGCTTTCCTATGGACGCTTGCGTGTTCTCACTGTGATTTTCACAGTGAGATGCACACAAACACCTCTAGCGGCTGTCAATGAGACAGCCACTAGAGGATTTGGAGGCTGGATTAACCCATTTATAAACATAGCAGTTTCTCTGAAACTGCTATGTTTATAAAAAAGGGGTTATTCCTAGAGGGACCTGGCACCCAGACCACTTCATTAAGCTGAAGTGGTCTGGGTGCCTAGAGTGGTCCTTTAAGTACATACATACATATTACAGACATAATATTTTTATTTTTTAAAACAAGAAATAGGGCTTTTTTTTTTATGCTCTACGTGCATACATAACGCAATAATAAAAAAAATACTATGTTAAAAAATGTATTTTTTTTTTTTTTTTTAAACAACCACTTTATTGTTGTGTGACTGCACCATAAGAAGGAAATTACTGCAGCTAAGCGGGATCGCACTGAGCCATGGTATTTAATTCCATTTAAAGAGCTATGTGCCGCGTTCACTTTGATTACTGCACATTGCTCTTCTATCTGTCTATGGCCACTAATTGTGGCCCTAACTGAGAGAGGACCCCTCTCTGGGGTCTCAGATTGTTTAAGGTAGCAGACTGGGGAGAGTAATTGCAATACCACAATAATTAAAGGGCTATCACAGCTCATCTATGAATATGGGGCCACTAACTTTGTCCCCAGTTGGCAGAGGAAACTTTTGGATCTCCTTCTTTCCATGCAGGGCTTTAACGCCCAGTCACAGTGTTGATCGTCACGTGGTCCTGTAAGTGGTTAAAGGAACACTAATGCGTTAGGAATACAAACCTTTTTAGCGTCCCTGTCCCTTGTAAGATAGATTCCACTCCCTGCTGTGTGTCACGTTAAATTAATAATATACTTTTTTTACATACCTATTTCCAGCACCGAGGCTCAATTGGCACTGTTTACCTCTCGGCCTCCCACAATGGCATGGCCTCCTCTGGCGCGGTCCAATCCTATGCTCCTCATTGTGGTGCATTGGGGACATAATGCTCATGCACTCAACCTTCAAGCTTGAATCAATGTGTTCCTATGGAGCTTTCATGCCACGTGACAAAGTTTCACTCGGGCAGTGCCGTGGAAACACGTCCTGTATTTTACCTTTAAAATATATTAAAGATTTAGCAGTTGATATCACTATCCAGTTCAGTCAGATCATAGCAATGATAAAGAGAGAGTCAACACAGGGGTGCTCCATTCAATGAAAGAGCTAAACACAGTTGTGTGGATGTCTACATTTAGTTTCCGCATGTCACAAATACATCATTGTTAAGCACAGGGGATAAGGAAACACATTATAAATCCCTTGACGTGATCACTAGAAATCCCAAACCATCCCCATTTTTCATTCCGAGCTATACCATGCACTGCTTTGACATATGTAATGACGAGGAAAAATAGACAAAAAAATATTTTCTATTTGATAACCTTTTACCAATTCATTAGATCTATTAAATTGAAAAAGCCTTCTAACACAAATTGGTATTTATACAAACTTTTTAAAAGTCTGTCCTATCACTTTTTAAAGTTTGTTTTTTTGTAAGACAAGTGGCCACTCTTCCGGACGTTTCACCACCCTAATAAAGCCTTCTTCTACTGGATTTTCTCACTGAGATAGATATACTTAATTCTTACTTTACTTTTAATTAAGGGTAATGGCCAGAGATCAAAGTGGCAATTTTTCATACCTAGCTGGTCTCCCTTTCTCTGAGAAAATCCCAGTGATGTCATTAATGATGTCACTGGTCCATGGCTGAAAGCGATCATTAAGCCATGGTGCCTTAAAGTGCTCCAATGAGATCTACCCGCTGCTTATTGGTCAGTATGGGGGCACCTAGTATTGCTTCAACGAACAGAAGTGAGCCCCAGGTATATGGTGATATCTTGGTCTACTAAGTAACATAATAAAATTTATTATGTTCCATGCCATCCTCGGATGCTAAAGTACAGAACAGTGGACACTAAGGAGTTAAATATGCGCATCATACAAAATATAGATAGCCTGCAAAATTTTACAAAATAACCAAGTACCTGTAACTCATGAATAATGAAGTAATCGCCTGGTTGAGATTCAGGTTTTTCAACACTAAATGCTGGAGGGTGATAGTATAGCAGGCAGAAACCAGATCAAGGCAAGATTTAAAATGTATGCAAATATAGATAATGTACTTTGATGATTCAGTTATATTCCACCTGTTGACCCTTCTATGCTGTCTACAATCAAGGGAGCATAATAATTACTAAGCAGTGAAATGTAGTGAGCTTATATGTCTGCCCCTTATTTGGAAAATCTTGTAAAATCAGCAAATCTTTCCTATATTTTGCAATTTTTTTTAAAAAATGCCCTACAAGTCACTGTTAAGCGAATAAACCCCACACCAGAAATGTGTTTAAACAGCAGCACTGCACTGGATAAATGTGGCAGGTGTATTATATTGTTTATTTGTTTGTTTTTTTCACTTTAGTGTCACTTTATGAGAACTTTTATGAGAAAATCCAAACATGTTTTCGTGTTTTTTAAAAATGTTTTTCTTCTATTTTATTATCTTATGACCATTCTATAAATGGCACAGAGAACATCTGAAACGCAGGTTAATTGGATCACCATGGCAACTTTACAGCGGCTCAATGAATAGAATGCAAAATAGTAGTACATATATTAAGGCACTAGATGGCGCCAATATCAGTTACCAAAAAATGAAGAAGAAAAAAAAAAACATGCATTTTATAATGATTTGGTTAAATAGTCAAATATTCATAATTTTTTCCATGTGTGAAATACAAACATCTAATTTGTATTTCTAATATTCCCTGAACAGGATTGCTGCATGCAATTTTCATTTACTTCCTGTGCTAGCAAAGGTCAAAGTCAGATTTTTATTTTACAAAAAAAAAAAAATATGAATAAAATACAGATTCTGCTACATTTTCCTTATTTCCAAAGCAGTGACAGACACTATATAAACCAGGTGCTCCAAAAAGTAAGATGCCCAAATATTCAATGCAAATTCAGACACTCCTCATTTACCGACCGGGCTCCGTTCCTACGAGCCGGTCGTAGAACGAATTGGTCGGTGAGGAGTAAAGGGATTCTATGCTCTGGTTCGTTCGTCTACATTCGGGGGAAACTTCCCCGAACATAGACAAAGACACCAGAGCAGGAAGTCCCTCTAATCTATGCTCAGGAAAATTTCCCCGAACATAGATTAGAGGGATTCCCTGCTCTCGTGCGTTCGTCTATGTTCGGGGAAGTTTCCCTGAACATAGACATGCGCACCAGATCAGGGAATCTCCACGATGGCTCGCACTTATGCCTGGTCGCAAAATGAGGACCACCTGTATTCAATGCTACTTTATCATTCTAAAGCAACCTTTGCAACTCTAGATGTCAAGGTCTAGGCTAACTGAATTTTTACAAGCCAGCTATTTTATCCTTGAATTTGAAATCCACTTTGAATTCTCAATATAGTGAATAACTCTGTAAGCAGGGTCACTAAACTAAACTCCCATTACGAATTTCCAAGGAAATTGCAAAATGTATGGAAAAATTTACCAAGCTTGCAGACAAGCCAAATTGGGTGATATTTCTAATTCAGCTATTCCGGTCTAAAATCTGTGATTCTGTTAAATTTGGGATTTCCAGTATCGTGAACCAGCTCAGCCAGATTATTTAAATTGAATCCAGTTGTCGGGAAATGTATGAGGAGCAACATACAACACACTTAGAAACTCTTTCGTTGTTGTGAACCTTTGAACAGTGGTGGGAAAGGAATCCAAGTTACAGTATTTCTCTGTGACTTGCTTTATAAATACTGAAATCAATGACAATGGAAGCATATCTGTATTGCACAGCTCGGAAACATACATTTGCTATAAATATATAATATTTCTTAATTTTCATATTCAGTTTAGAACTACTCACGTGTCAAAGAGCTACAGGCTGACTCCATGGAACACATGTTATGGGTGACCATCCTGAGGCAAGGTAATGTCTTCAAAAGCAGAACTGGAAATAAGAAAAGATAGAGGTTGTAGTGTGGTTTTCAAACTATTTTTTTTTTTTTTTAAAGGTAGTAACCTAAATTAAAAACACTACAGCAATTTAGGGAGATAAATCCCACTACATATATATTGCTGGAGGAATGGGGCCTCTGAAAGATCAGAAATTAATGATGTTGCCGAAACTTTGTAAACTTTGACCCTGTACCTCACAGTCAGCAGACACATTCCAGCCAATCAGCAGCAGACCCTCCCTCCCAGCCCCTCACACCTCCTGGACAGCATCCATTTTACATCCATTGTGAAGCTGCATTCTTAGTGAGCTGTCCAGGAGATGGGAGGGTCTGGGAGGGAGGGCCTGCTGCTGATTGGCTGGAATGTGTCTGCTGACTGTGAGGTACAGGGTCAAAGTTTACTCAATGATGAATCCGTGGCGAACCATTCGCGGCGAACCGTTCGGGACATCACTATCAGAAATCTTAAGCATAGTTTCATTATGCTGATACCACATATTTAGGGAGGGATATTGGCTACATACGCAATGTTTTTAACACAAATAACTGCATGTTTAGCATAAACTTCTGACTGTAATTTGACAAAGTAGTATGCTAATGCAAAGAAACAAGTCCTGCGCTCAAACTCCCATTACTCCTGGGCGGCAGCAATGACCATAGTACACATCAGCCAAAATACATATAGTAAAAACCAAAGAAAAAAAGTTACCTGCACTCTCTCCACATTCCTATGTATTTTTAAACAAATTGAGGTTTTTAGTTACTTCCAATGGCCATGAGAGGGTATGCCCACCTGCCACGTCAAGGCAGACGTCTTAGGTGGGTCCTACTCTAACAATTTGCCCTGCTTCCTTGAGCTTCTGGCAAAAAAGTCTCTCATGAGACAGAAAGGTTTTTTTTTTATATACATCCCTACATTCTTATTAACCCTTAATAGGGAACACGTGGGATGGGCAGCAGCATTGCAACTTAGCTGTGTGATACAAAAGTGAATACAAATACAAAGAAACAAGTCCTGCGCTCAAACTCCCATTACTCCTGGGCGGCAGAAATTACCATAGTACACATCAGCCAAAATACATATAGTAAAAACCAAAGGAAAAAAAGTTACCTGCGCTCTCTCCACATCCCTATGTAGGGGTGTATATAAAAAATACCCCTTTCTGTCTCATAAGATATTTTTTGCCAGAAGCTCAAGGAAGCAAGGCAAATTGTTAGAGTAGGACCCACCTAAGACGTCTGCCTTGACGTGGCAGGTGGGCACACCCTCTCATGGCCATTGGAGGTAACTAAAAACCTCCATTTGTTTAAAAATACATAGGGATGTGGAGAGAGTGCAGGTAACTTTTTTTCTTTGGTTTTTAGTATGCTAATGATTGTATTGAATATTGCAGTGTGCCAACCCTCTTCTAATGTATTACATGCTATGTACAGTCTTTATATGCCAATAAACCTTTTAAAAAAAAATACTGATAAATAACTGTCAGCAGATCAACTCAATTATTCAACATTCTGGGCATCATACAATATTATTAGGATGGGTTAAACTATCCAACGTCCCAAGACATACTTGAAAACTACAGGTGTCTGTTATAATATAGTATTACTAAAAACATTTCTTTTTTTGCCGTGGATTAGAAGACTTCGTTAACCCCTTGTCATGAAGTGGTTAAAAATCCCCACATATTTGCAAATTGATCTGCTGTTACATTTCTACCAACAGGATAGTCTAACTTCCTTGTGCATAATAATAAGGGAAACCCCAATGCATGTGATTATTGGAGTTCAATTTACCCATACTGCAAAGACTAAATGTAAATCCACCTACTGCAGATACACAAAATATTGGTCTACGAGATGCTCAGGTTACCTTGGCAATAGGAGAGAAGGAGATGTGATTATTCCCCTTCATTGATCATAACAGAACAACTTGTGTATAGCTAAAGACTATATTAAAAGCAGAGATTATTACTGTATTGTTGCGCTTATCTTCCTCTATCTATATGTTATTTAGGACATATTAGCTCTCACGGTAATAGGTTAACTCCTGATCCCATGGATTCCTGGAAGATGGGAAACTAAAAGCAATTGTTAAGAGAGGTTTCTAAACAGATGTGAAATATTGAAGAATACGCCTGGAGAGTGAAAGGATTCTCAGATGACAGAACTAATCAAAGGGCTTTATAAATGGCAGGGGTTTCAACAATTCCGTAGGACTAAAATTCTTACCACTGCGGATTTATCAATTTAAAAAGACAATAGAGGCAACAGAACAACTTAAGTATAATAAAGCAGTTTTGGTGTATAGACCATGTCCCTGCAGTCTCACAGTTCAATTCTCCGCCACTTAGGAGTTAAATCACTTTGTTTATACAGCCCCAGTCACTACTCCCTGCATGTGACTTACACAGACTTCCTAAACACTTCCTTAACTGCACATTCTGTTTAATTTTGAATTTCTCATCTCTGGCTCTGTTAACAGCCTTTGAGACCCTGCAGGAGCCTCCTGTGCGTGCTTAAAGTTCAATTTACAGGGCAGGAGACAAAAAGGTATAGGGCACATTAACATCTGATTGAAAATGGAACAATTTTTTAATGCAAGCTGTGTCAGTCACAGCCAGGGGAGGTGTGGCAAGGGCTACCTAAACAGAAACATAAGTGGTTTAAAGGAATACTATAAGTGCCTGGAATACAAAGCTGTATCCCGGGCACTATAGCTCCCTCTGCCTCCGCCCTCCCTCGTATCGCCCGCGCAGTAGTCAATCAATGCTTTCCTATGGGGGGGGGGGGAAATCGGACGCTGGATGTCCTCATGCTATTACTAGTTTATACCTCTTAACTAAAATGCACTTGATGAAATAATCCCAATTTAGAGGTGCTGTCCCACGTCTTACTTCTCCACAGAAAGCACAGCACAACCATATCATATCATAGACCTGCTTGTGCTGTGCAAACTACACTAAGGGCATTCTGCCCACACAAGAGGTGGGCTAGTTAGCAAGATGGGCATACACTCCTTGCTGACATGCTTCATTTTCATGTGCGTTTATCCTCTGATTTGTCACCAGTTGTAAGCATTGTGTAACAACCTGTGCATTCATACCTCCCAATATTGAGAAATATGCTCAAAAGTCTTGGGGCCCCACTTGTTTGTTTATTATGTCTGCTGTCAAATTTAGCTTAGAATCTATAAATGTAAGAAGCACTTAGCTTCAAGTAACACACTATAAACCCGGTTTGGTGATATATTCACAAAACCGGCACCTGTGAACAGACAGGAAATTTGGCAATTTTAGGGCCAGCATAACGAAGTTGGAACAATTGCTAGTTTGGGTACTGTGACGTAGAATTTGTTTAGTGAATAAACCCCTCTAAATACTTAGCCACTCAACATTCTTGCAGGAATTCATATATTTAAAAAAAAATTTTTTTTTAAAAACTGAAAAAATCTAAAAACATTCTATCCCTGCATTGTTCTAGCAACTCAGTTTTATGTGTTATCAAATTTTTTTATATGCTTTCTAAGAACTTACATAAGAGTTTATGGATGCCACCAAAGCAAAAATAAATTAAAAATCTTGTTCTTTTTTTTTACATAAAATTAATGACCCATAAAATGAAAGCCTTTTTTTCTCCTCTCTGTTTTATTCAGGTAATGCTGGCATCTGATCGTATAACAATGACATGGCTTGTTATGAAAATTTAAAAAAGAAGCGACTCATCTGAAAAAATAGCAGCTGTCTGATAGAACATCGGGTGCTTGAAATAGCTGCAAGAAATCAATTTTTCACCAATGCCTTCCCACCTCTCATACACAGATACCAAAATAACTGCTTTGTACCAACCCTCCCTTTAAAGGGACACACTACAGACTGTAAAACTATCAGATGCATTATGTATATTATTATTAAAGCGACTATGTCACCCTATGCTTACCGTGCTTCAATATTTCAATTGAATGAATCAAGATACACCTCCCTGCCTGTCAAGCAGGCAGCCGCGAGGGGCTACTTCCTGCTAGTATAGTTCTGTAGAGTTAAATCTAAAGTGTGGAGCTTGTGCAGAGTGCCTAAATTTGAAAGACTTCTCCACGAGCTACGTTGTAACACAGCTCATTGAGAAATCTATCATGTGGTCTCTCAATACGAAGTCTCTGATTGAGAAAGAAGGGGAGGGCTTGCCAACATTAGATCTGCATCTATAGATAAACCCTCTAACACAGTAAGACCAAAGGGTTCCTAGTCCACTGGCACTAAAACAAAGTAGGAAATACAGACCAGCCTCTTTTCTCGATGCATTCCTAAATGGGTGACCATAATAAAAGGGTGGTATGGGTGTCGAACTCAGTTCCCATGGACTAGGAAGAAAAGGACGAGTAATATTAAAGGAGGACTTCTCCTTGTGCTCTTTACCTTAAACTGGGTGTAGTACTAGAGTGGCATTATTTGGGACTAATGTGCACCTTACTAGCTGTGGACACTAGCTATAATATTTGTCAGACTCTAATGTACTTACCCCATAAGGTCCAGGATCGTTTCTGAAGAAACGTGGCCCAGGTTTTTGCCAGAACTGCAGGTTCTGATCTATAACTACATCCCAGAGACGTATAGAATTAAAATCCATCTACAATGTGAACCCTAGACTTCAATCACACCTCCTGCTTTCATAACACTCGATGGATAGTGTAGTACAGCACTAACAAGTGTTCATCTATCGGGCAGTGAGGATGCGGTATCTCTCCTTAATACCCTTTTCTTAGCAATTTCACCATTTATTAATATTCGACTAGGCCTTCATTCAGACTATGACATTGTGCTTTTTCAGGATTGTATATTTACACAGCAGTTTTCCACTCAAAGGGTGCACGTTGTCTGTTATAGTGTTACATGGCCCAGGCCATGACCTAGACTCCATTCACTTACAGATAGCTCATATTTAATCTGAAAAAGATATACAATTCTTCAATATTGAAACCTACACAGAGTAGCAGAACATCTAACTACTTCCCCATCCTGCTTTTCCATTGTTATCTCCTATAATGATCTATTTTTTCATGCTGGTCATTTTGACATGTGTGAATCTGCCTTTAGGCCAACGCACTTCTCTATGTATTTTTTTATCTTCTCTATTTTCAATCTGACTCCAGGGAGACGGCAATGCTAATACATTGAAGACTATAATGGGATACCACTAGAACCATGAGCCATTCAGGTATTTAAGGTGGTCATGGTGCATGGAGTCTGTATGTGCAGCATTTCACTGTGAAACGCTGCACTTATGCTTAACTCCACCTCTGGCAGCGTCTAGGGTGTCATTACCCAGGGGAGTTTCAGGCTGATACTGGCAATTTGTTTTATTTACTTTTTGCTCAGTGTGCTATTTATTGGCTGAGAGCAGCCAGCTGACACTCACAGCCTATGAACGGTGACTGCAATGGATTTTGCAGCTGTGCAGATACATACCCTTGCACTACGCCACTCACATCATGTGCTTTACATCCCCAAGTGGGCACCACAACAGTTTTGCACCCTCAGACACATTTGCCACTGTTTCTGACGCTAGAAGATGTAGTTTCTCCCCTTTTATCAAATCATTAAACCACGCCCACTCCATGGCACCAGCAATTCATTGACAACGCCCACTCACGTTGTAGGGGCTTGGCTATCAATCAAATGTCCCAGGCTTATAAATAGTTGAGCTTTAGATCTGTTCAGTGTCCTGTAGTGGTTTCCATTCTAGTTATCCAAGAGTGCTTTTGTCAGGATTCTAACCTTACAACCCAAATATTGTTTCTTTTCGTCTGTTTTATTTCCATATATACCAGTTTTTGACCACTAGTGGCCTCCCTAGCCACTAGTCTATCAAAGGTTTCTCTCACCTGCATAGCATGGTCATCAAAATCTGCTATAAGAGGCCACACCCTGCTGCACATGTTGCCGTCACAATGATAGAAGTTGTTGTTCTGAACCTGAGATAACTTCTGATCCAACTTTGAATACCTTTGAACCATCCTGAATTATCTAACCAGTCTACATTGTTTCCAGTCTGCGCTTTCCCAAGAAGCTTGGTAACTAAACCTCGTCATCAATAACATCCTACTTTATTTCATACTGGACTTTATTACCTTTTAACTTTATTGCAACCCTACTGTCAGGATTGTAGTTGATCCAGCACGCAGAATTGTATCACACCCTTGAACTAAGGATAACGTCTTACCGGACCTTAGAATAGCCAAATTTAACGTACCAGAGAATAGTCACAATAATTGCCGAGGTCAGAGCCACAGAACGAGAGACAATGATGAGGAAAGTCAAAGATATCAGAAATCAGGGAAGTCGAAATAAAGCTAAGCTAAAGTCAAATACCAGAAAAACACACTCTCGGATAACCAGCTAGTGGAAACCACGACAGGGCAATGACTATCAGGTAACTTGGGCTTAAATAGCCCTCCTTCAGCTCCGATTGGCTGTACCTCGCCTTTGACCCCAGAACGTGTGTGTGCGTCGTCTTCGAGGATGGAGGTTGGACTATTTAACTGCATGAGTCCGCAGCAGCTGGCATCCATTGATATGCCGCGATGTTCAGGAACTGTACCAAGCAGCTGCCGTATAGTAACTCTATCGATGTAAATATTATTTTTCACAATTTTTATATATGGAAATGAGGGATACGTGACACCCACTTTACAACAAGCGGAATCATCAATACCAACCTGTTTTATTTCATATTGGACTCTTTTACCTTTCTACTTGGTTGCAAACCTAACTTACAACAAATGGATTCAATACAAGCAACCTAAATATTACAATATTTTCCTTATTATTTGCATCTATCCTGGTTAACCCTGCTGCAACTATCTGATTATTGCATTACAGCCTCCAAACAAAAGAGACTAATCAACTAAAAGCCTAACTGCCTGAATTTGTTAAACCTTTACATGTTGTTTATTTCTGTCTTTATTATATTATGTTTGCCAGTAACCGATAATTTCTCTCATAGGTTTTCCCTCTCTTGATTTACCGGTTAACTGATAACTTGCTTGGGGTATATTGCTTAACTCTTATTTCTGTCCTTTCCTTTTACCTGTAATTCCGTTTATAGGTTCTCCACTTACTTCAATCTAAAATTCCGCTTATAGGTACTTCTTATTCTCCTCACCTATAATTTATCTTATAGGTTCTCATGAGACCTGATAACCTGCTTGGGGCATATTGCCTAACTCCTTATTTCTGTTCTTTCCTTATACTGTCTATAATTCCGCTTATAGGTTCTCCTTCCTTCCAAACCTATAATTCCGCTTATAGGTTCTCCCTCTTCCTTCTAAATCTATAATTCCGTCTGCTGTCTATAATCTCATTTATAAAATAATCTGTCTGGGGCTTATTGTCTAAACCACTATTTCTGTTACCTTCCATTATACTTACCTGTAATCCCGTTTATAGGTTCTGCTTCTTGCTTTGTCTGTATTATTTCCATTTCCCTTTTAGTCTTACTTCACTTAGTATTTCAAGTCAAAAACATGTCAAATAATTCCAGTAAAGAACATAAAGTCAACCCCGGTATAAGTCTCTTGTCTGACCTGATCAAAACCATGACAGCTTTTTTGATGTATCTGTGATTCCTGGTTTATTGATCGGGCCTGTTTTGACTATTCTCAATTCTGTATCCCTAACTATGGCTAGTTTATTGATTCTGTCTACTTCTATAGTCCTTAAAGGACCACTATAGGCACCCAGACCACTTCAGCTTAATGAAGTGGTCTGGGTGCCTGGTCCAGCTAGGGTTAACCTTTTTTTTTATATATAAACATAGCAGTTTCGGAGAAACTGCTATGTTTTATATAAACATAGCAGTTTCGGAGAAACTGCTATGTTTACACTGAGGGTTACTCCAGCCTCTAAAGCCTCTAGTGGCTGTCTCATTGACAGCCGCTAGAGGCGCTTGCGTGCTTCTCACTGTGAAAATCACAGTGAGAAGACACTAGCTTCCATAGGAAAGCATTGTAAATGCTTTCCTATGAACTGGCTGAATGCGCATTCAGCTGATGACGTCGCTAGGATGGAGGAGAGGAAAGCTCCCCGCCTGGCGCTGGAGAAAGGTAATAGTTTAACCCCTTCCTCTCTCCAGAGCCCGGCGGGAGGTGGACCCTGAGGTATGTTTTCCTGGCACTATAGTGGTCCTTTAACCTCAGCTTGCTTCTTGATGTTAACTCCAGTCACTCTAAGGTCCGGTATTATGGCCAGATGACAGGCTCAGAGCATCTCCAAAATGGAAAGTCTTGTGTTGTGTTTCTGGTATGCAGTGGTGAATACCTACCAAAAATGGCGCAAGAGAGGACAACCGGTAAACCGTCATCATGGGTGCCCAAGGCTCACTGATGCATATGGGACGCAAACGCACTAGAGATGCTTCCTGGGTCAGAACTGATGTTCAGCATCTCCACACTCTGCATAGAGGCGCTGAACGTGTCCAATAGAGATGCATTGATTCAATACATCTTTATGAGGAAATCCTGATTGGTGCAGCTATTTGCTGTGCATGTGCAATAGCCTTCCAATGCTTTCCTATGGGAATGCATTGGATTGGCTCAGAACATCAAGTCTCAGCGAATGGGGTGGAGACGGGGCAGAGCCAGGCCGGCCATCTAAACAGCGCTATTAGAGCTATAATGTCAGGAATACATGCTTGTATTCCAGACACTATAGTGTTCCTTTAATGCCACTGTCCACTGGGAGAGCCAGAAGCAGTTTGTAGTGGCCACTTTTACTGTACGTATAAATATATATGTTAACACTCAGAGTCATAATACAGGCACACTGATATACACACACATTTTATATATATATATATACACACACAGAGAGACAAT